TTTTGTCCTTTATGTCAAAAGGACTTGAAAGATGTGTCCATACCCACATTTACAGCCATGTCGAAGACCTTCTTCACCCAGAACAACATGCTTTCAGAAAACATAAATCTTGCGTTACCCAACTTGTTTAATATATTCATTCACTGGCAAAAACACTTGACTCGGGTGGTCAAACTGATGTCATATACCTGGACATGGCAAAAGCTTTTGACTGGGTACCACATGAGAAACTTATGTATAAACTCGAAATGCTTGGTTTTCGAAATCCATTATTAACCTGGACTATCTTACAAATAGACGTCATAGAACCCTCATCGAAGGCATTGCGTCAGACTGGAAGCCAGTTACTTCTGGAGTTCCTCAGGGATCTATCATTGGCCCAATTCTATTTCTTGTACGTGTAAATGACATTGCGGAAAACCTTTCTACTGGTACCAGTCTTCCCCTCTATGCAGATGATGCAAAGTGTGCCAGAGTGATTAGCGACCCTAATGATTGTTACACCCTCCAAAACGATCTGTCAGCTCTGCATGATTGGAGTAAACTATGGGAAATGAACTTTAATTCACAGAAATACAAACAGCTCTGTATAACAAGGAAGAAAAAACCAACCCACAAGATCTATCATCTTGGTACGAAACAATTACTCCTATCTGACACGGAAAAAGATCTAGGTATAATGCTACATCACACACTAGCATGGCATGACCACATCTTTACAAAAGTAAATTTTGCAAATAAGATCCTGCGGCTGATTAAACGGACATGTGGAAATCAGACACAGTCTGCTGTGATTCGCAAGCTTTACATACACCTTGTGCCGCCTCACCTTGAATACACCTATGAAATCTGGTCCCCTCATCAAGCCTTTTTGCAGGACATGATTGAAAGCGTTCAGAGACGAGCCACGCGACTCATGATCAAAGGAAGATCTTACCTGGAGCGGTTGAAATCTCTCCATCTTCTAACCCTTAAGTCTAGAAGGACTCTACTTGACTTGATCTTCTTTTACAAATGTTTAAAGGAACTCTTAAATATTAACTTATCCAGTTTTACTATTTCCAGAAAAAATGCAGCATATGAACTAAGAAATGCTGATTTGTCATTTAAAACTCAATATGCGAGAACAAACATGCTAAAATATTTCTATTTCCATAGAACAGTTAAAGCCTGGAATTGTTTACCTGTGCATGTCAGAAAGTCTGAGTCTCTTTCTAATTTTAAGAGTCTTTGTAAGGCTTATTTATACCAGTTAGACACTGAATTAACCTAACTTATTATTATTACTATTATTATTATT